CAAAATAAATAAAAAATGAATGATTAAATAAATCAATTAATCAATAATTTAAAAATGAATAGATCAATAATTTTAAAATGAATAGGTCAATGAATAGAAATAGATAGATAAAAAGAAAATGAATAAATCAATAAATACAAATAATAGATGAATAATGACTGAATGAATAAATAACTAAATTAAAAACTGAATAATAATCGCGGACCTTCTGTTGCAGAATCATGAAGTTGTTGCTCGTGGCGGCGCTGCTGGGCCTGGCGGTGCGAGTGAGCCCCCAGTGCATTTCCCAATTCGATGACATGATTCCGCCCAACTTCGCCGACCTGAGCTACATCCTGCCGTTCAGCCTGAGGTTGTTCAAGGAGCTCGTCCCCCACTCCGGCAACTTCCTCATCTCGCCCTACAGCATCTGGAACGCCCTCGTCATGGCCTACCTGGGCACGAACGGCGAGACCAAGACGCAGATGGAGAAGGTTCTGCAACTGAGCAACAAGGTGGAGACTCTGGCTCTGTACAGGTCGCTCTCGCAGCATATCAAGCAGTGCGTATTTTGGATGAGTTCTGTTTGTTTATTTGTGTTTCGGTTACATAGGCTTAAATACGCACACACATGCACGCACACATACAAATACCCAAACACACACACATATGCACACACACAGACACTCACACGCGCACACACACACACACACACACACACACACACACACACACACACACACACACACACACACACACACACACACACACACACACACATATTCTCACACATACATACTTTTCCACAGCACGCATTCTCCGATCTGCGCACACACATACATTCTCATCCTGCTTGAGCTTGTAAGAGACTAAGCAACAAGATTAATCACACTAATTAATTTCATTTCACAGTGCATCCGAAGGCAAGGAAGATTTAAATTAGGAGAGAGTTAGGGAGGAGAGATTCACATTAATCGATGTTTTTTTTTTTAGGAACTGATAATGTTCGAATTATAAAGAGATATGGCATTGTACCATTCTTTAAAGATTTGAATTAGTTCTTTGTTTTAATCTATCTGTGATTGAATAAAGAAGATTAATTCCATTGTACGATTTTCAAAAGAGTTTGTTAGACGATCTGGCATCAGTTAGATTAGTTAGGCTAGGGCATTCATGTATGGGGGTATTTGAACTAATGGGTATTGCACTCGATTTCTGGATATTTGTAAATAATCTAATCTTCTAATTCATGCGTAGCTAGAATATTAGCTTATTAACTTGCACTGTTATACCGTAAGCTAGACTTTCCCTAATGAAATAAACAGAAACTAGGATCTTCCTAAAACTGAATAGAATTTCTTTTCGCGTTCTAATTCTAGCTATCTGTATCAAAAATAAATTCAAGCACTTAGCTCTTCTAGAAATCATACAGGTAACCAAAGGGCTTGGCGATGACGATCCTGTAGGGAGTCTAAAATCAACAAAAGATTATATGAACCGTTGTTTACAAATTCGAATTCCTTTTCTTTTATATTAGGGGGGGGGGGCAATTATTTCTTAAGGGTTTTTCCTAAGAAGTGTATAGTATTCGATTCTTTTCGATTATGGAATTTCGAATGATGACATAGTCGAAACGCGTCAAATATATTCATTCCTTTTTTCAACTTTTGTCTCAAAGAATACTGTTGCACTAAGATTTAAATAATATAGAGTGTGAAGTGCAGCATTTGTTCCTAATAGTATTAACATCATCATCATCATCATTATCATTATCATCATCATCATCATCATCTTCATCATCATCATCATTATCATTATCATCATCATAATTCTTATTCTTATTATCATTATTGTTAATATTACTTTAACGATGATGATAATAATAATAATGATTAATTGATAAATAAATACATATTATCATTGTTATACTTATCATTATTATTATTATTAACATTATTAATATTATTATTATTATTATTGTAATTGTTATTATTATTGTTATTATTATTATTATTATCATTATCATTATTATTATCATTATTATTATTACTATTATTATCATTTTATTTTACATTAGTATTTTCTATTATTATCATTATTGTTATTAGCATTACTCTCATTATATCATCGCAATTATTACCTTATCAGCATCATTACTATTATCATTACTCTTCTTCCTATTATCAATTTTATCATAATTATCATCGTTGTTGTTACGATTATTAATATTGTCATCACTGTTGCTGTTCTTATCCTCATGATCAGTTTTATGATTGATATTGTTGCTGCCGTTGTCTTTTGTATCTTTAATAACGTTATTACTATCATCATTATTCATTATTAGTAACAATGTACTTTCAAAGAAAATACTAGTTAGCAGCGTTGAGCTAAGCCCCGCCCATTTGCCTTCATTTAATGCAAATATTAACAGGATTCCTACATTTCCCTGTCTTCTCACATAAGCTACCGTTATTTTCTAAGCATTTCATGTGAAAAATACCGAGGAAACGCGTATCATAAT